CAACAGTCCCACCCCCCCACGGCACAGGCCCCAAAGCCCACCAATGCACCGAAGGCCCCAAGGCCAGGGCCGGGCACCGGTGCACCTGCCGGCCCAAGACCCCGGCAACATACCTGTCAAGGCCCGAGATCCCCGGACCAAGCCGGGAACCCTGCCCAGGAGCTCTGCTTCTTAAGCCGGGAGTAGCGTCTCCTCCTCTTCCCATTGAAGCGCCTCTGCTGTAGCTTCAAGATAGATGCCTTTAAGATCTGCAATCTGCCGAGCGTAGATTTGAGTTCGTTGCTGATCTCTGCTATATTTTGTGGCAAATCCGCTCTTATTCTCATCAGTTTGGTTTAGCTATAATTCACATGCATAAATCATGCAGAGTTCGGCACAAAGACAATTTCAGAACTCCTAAAAACTGGGATTGCACTAGGAGCCTGTCAAGCTGCAGCTCCAGGGAGTGCGGCCATCTTGGCCAAACAAAAGATAACACTGACTCCAAAAACGAGCAGTTGAAATAAGATAAAGACAAATGTAAACTTGTGCAACTACCTTTTGCTCATAATTTTTTGCCTCGATTGCCTTGAAATTCCCCTGAATTTAAAAAGATTAGAGACATACTCACCGATTGCCATCATGTAGTCCCATCGGTCCAGTAGACATGTGCTGAACTGAAGTCCTTCTGGTGTGAGGCCCGCTGTGATAAGAGCACGGCTCAGCTCTGGATTCTGGCACACAGCTGAGGTCCAGGCCAACAGGAACCAGAGCACCACCAAGAGAATCACTGCCAGCAGTCGCAGGACACGCCAGCTCGTCATGTATGGCGTCCTCTGTGCTGTGCGGGACAGGAAGACCATCAACACCCTGTGAAAGCGGATTAAAGAGGACAGCCTGAAAATTTAAACCTTACAAAAAGATAGGAAACTGCTGTTTCCCCTGCAATCAGAAATTAACATTTGTGATTTATACTCTGATTAATTTTATTATACTATTTGACTCTGATTTTTGTATTGAACATTTTTTTTAATTTACTCTGATTAATTCCAACAAAATTGTGACTTTACTTGACACCCCCTCCTTAGAATCGGACTCTATCCCAGTTAAGCCTCCATGTTTTTCTACCCAGTGAAGTTGCCACCTGAGTTATGGTTTACCCCACTGCAGCCTCTCCTCTAAGGGGTATCACAAACTAATCTAACACTTGAGTATTACCCAGAGTGACCTTAGGTTAGTTCTACTTAAAGCTGTGTTGAAGGTGACTCACCCAGATTTGTAAACGACCTCCATCTATGAGTTACACCCTTATCTCACCCCGTGACTTGCCCAACTTAGCAGCTGGAGTTGGATCGTCATTCACAGGGAAAACTCATTCTACGGTTGTTCACCTTCGGTTGTAGAACTGTTATTGTTATTGATCTGGTTAATTTTTGAATTTAGGAATAAATTCCAGGATGTTGTTTAATCAGAGCTAAAAAACCTTTAAAAACCTCCCTTTTGTTAGAATTAAACCAAGCTTCTCAAATCCATGAGCACGAAGTGATTAAATGATAGTCCAGAGTTTTCATTTATGCTTTGCTTTAATGATTGGCAGGGGTACAGTGTCATCAGCAGAATTTCAAAATTATTACATTTAAATACATGGTGTGGTAGATAATAAAGAGCACATTCAAGGCTTAGGAGAACCTTCTGCTGGCTAATTTTGATGTTCCATAGACTGGGAAACCCCTATGATGGGAATATCCTAGCTCCGATGAGCTGAATTAGGGGATTGTGAGTCCTCAAGCGTTGATGATCCGCTGAGGGGGAAATCCACTGTACCTCGTAGGGACAGCCACACCCTTGGAGCCCCAGGAGCATGTTAGGACCCTTAAACCTCCCAAAGTTCTTTATTCAACCAACTAGACCTTTCTCCTAGCAGCTAAAATCAATCTCAATAACACTCAGTTGGTGGGATGTCTTTTGAACATAAGGAACCAGAATGTACGCTCATCCATCTACTTGCCTCACTTGATAAAATAAAGCACTATTATTTTGTATAAATTTCTATATAGAGCAATATTAAGCCCCCAGTATACTGCCGCGTACGTCCATACGCAGAGGTACGCACGTACGTACGTGGAAGTACGAGCGTACCCCTCAGGGCACGTCCGTGCAAAGCTCAAATTTTTACGACCGCATACGCGTACATGGTGTCGCACAATAAACTGCCCAGCGACGGACTGTTTTGTATGCAACACCAATGTATTCAATTCCCCTTCTTCATCTCTGATCTGGCCTTTTCTTTTCTTTTGTTTTTTTGCCAAGAGGCAAGTGATCTCTTTCTCCTCTGTTGATGCATGACTGAAATGGTGAGAAATTAAGGAATTTGTCACGAGCGAATTAAACTCAGGTCCTGCAGGAGGGTCTGGAGATTTCCTGGTGGGCTGGTCTGATGTATGGGCTGTAGAGCCAGTGCTCTGTTTTTTTATTTTTTTTCAAGATCTTATATTAACAACATAAACAATAAACACAGAACACCGCTACAGCTGAGGCTGCCAGCGCTCGCTTTTTTCTTTTTTCCGACCTGTCAATCAATCCAGTAGGCATGTCAGCAAATGACCAATCGGCGACCTAAATTTGTCCCGAAGGTAAACGCCCCTTGTCTGTGAAGCTGCTCTTCAGCTGCTCGGGGTGTACGCTGGAGTACAAAGTCTGAACCCTCTCCATACAGTACACGCGTACATATGCGTGAATGGACGTACGCGGCAGTATACTGGGGGCTTTAGGATGTCGCTTACCATTCCAGCCTGCGAACCTCTTTTGTTAGGCAAGCGTAGTCTTCCTTCCAGAGCCCTGGAAGGAATCACCCTTTGGCTTTAAGAACAGTCCAGATTCAGGAAGATTTGGTCTGGCGACCAGCCCAGGCTGAAGTGAAATAGAAACACTCCTATCTTGATTAAAAATGAGATATTTTCTTGGGCTGTCCAATTCTCCCCGGCAGCATCTCGAGGCCAGATCAATAGGGGGAGTGGTGGCGCAGAGGTTAGAGAGGTGGGCTTGTGATCCAAAGATCGCCGGTTCACGCCCCGGCCCCGACAACATCAAAATTGTGGGTGGGGTAGGTGAAACACCCACACTTGCCCCCACCCTCATTCGCCCCACTCTGGGCCCATGAGCAAGGCCCTTAACCCCCACCATGTGCTCCCTAAACAGGTCTCTCTTGAAAATGAGTTCTCGTGGCTCAATGAGACTAACCTGTATAAATAAAGGCTAAATGAAAAAAAATAAAATAAAATATTGCTCCATCCACGTCGACTCTCTGGTCTGCTTCAGCCCTGCTTGAAGCTGTAACAACACTTATATAGGGTGTGGGCTGGTTAAAACCAGTTTGAGCAAGTTTAAGCTTATGATTCCACCCCATTGTTCTCTGGTGTAATGTCCTGATTGGTCTTCCCTACTCGTACGAGTCTCAGTGTATCATTTTACGATAATGCAGTCTTGGTGTGGCCTCCTGATTGGCCCCCTTCTCTGTCATGCGAGACATGTTTCCCGATTCTCAGAAAGTCCCCTTTTTTCAGAATTTAGGGATACATCCATGTTCTTCCCAGAAAGCCCCTATTTCTCAGAATTTAGGAAGACATCCTGTCCTTTATGTCATGCCTTTTAAGGTATTCATAACCAACCTGTTTCTTGTGAAAACGTTACCTCAACCATTTCCTTCTGTTTAAGACACATACAACTTTAAACCTAAGGTTCAAACATTACTTTTTTTCCCTGTTCTAATTACATAAGTAGCAAACGTTTCCCAGATTACATGCTTTTTATAATCACCCTTTGAGTTTAGCTTTTATTCATACACTAAGTGAGTTTTACATTTCATATACATACAAAATAGGGTGCAACTGATACATTTAAGCAGAAACATGAGCCTCCTGATTCATCAATCTTGAGGCACAGACTTCCATTGCACATGTAATATAGGCTTCTAGTTATTGATCATGATTCACTTCACCCTCTGTCCTCAACCAGCAGCAGGCCAATTCCAACAAAATTGTGACTTTACTTGACAATCTGAAATAGAAAAAAGTGAGAAGATGCACCTTTTAATAATGTATTCATGAAGTTATAGTGCACTTGTTGAAAGGTCATGCGACTGTAATGCAATTATCATCAAGTTTGCTGATTCCTACAAATATTTGGGTATCTTGGTCGATTTGCATCTCTTATAAGTTCCACATCAAAAACTTAGTAAGGAAACTGGCAGTTAAATTGGGTTTCTTTTTCAGAAATAGATCCTGTCTAACTCTGAATGCTAGGAAACACCTTGTAACTGCTACTTTCCTTCCCTTGATTGACTACGGTGACATTATTTACATGAATGCTCATACAAGCACCCTGCAGATGTTGGATGCTGTCTATCATGGTGCCCTAAAGCCCTATTCGCACGAGATTAGTTTTAACTAAGGACCACGTATAATAAATAAATTACTTCCCAACGTCTGCTTTTTATGTGGCACATTCACACAGGATAACTAAAGCCTGAGATTTAGCTGAAATTTACGGTCATCCTTCCAGTTATGATGTTAAGGCACTGTTAGTATTTTTATCTAGGCTGACCCTGAGTTTTTTCATCTAGTCAGAGATGAGATTATAATTAAATTATGACTCATTTCTGACTAGTTTAATTGGGTAGCAACTCTAAAAAGTGTCTCCCAGGGATTCAATATCCATCAAGGAATATAATTTATTTTGCTTGCTAGATCACGCAGAAAGGCTTTTTATTGTCTCATTTTTTCCATTCACGTTAACTCATAAGGTCCAATGTGACCATACTTAGTCACTCCCCACCATACATTGATACTAGGTCATGTTCCTCTTCTGCAAAGGAGGAATCTAGGACCTATAAATCTGTAATGCGATGGGACATCCGGCCCTTCTGGTTCCTGATCTTGCATCGTGTACTGGAACCGGCCAGCACTGTAAACTGTAAATTGTCCCGCCTTGATTTTAATACAATTGATAAAACTAGATTCTCGTTTCCTTGATTTATTAATAGTGTGAGTTGCCACTTCTGAGGGAGGTCCAATCCAGGACGAGCGTGAGCTGGAGGCGGACCTGGGTCCGAGAGGAGGCCTGACGTAGTGATGAACAAATAAAGCTTTTATGAAGCACTGAACCAGTTGGGCCAAATGCTTCAAAAATAGTTTAATTTGTTAAAATTTCAGTTACTGTGACCTCTTATGGCATTTTGCAGTGCTGCTGTCAAATTAAGCATTTTGTCTTTGGTGGCACACACCAAAGAACTTCAATGAATGCTGTTAAAGAAACTACTGTGAAAAAAAAATCATCAACTTTCTATGTTGTCTGGTTTGAAAATGTTGTCATGTTTTCAATTAAAGACTGATAAATGTGCATTGAAGAGATTTAATAACAATGTTGCAATAGTACTGTGCTTGTGTAAATGTGGTAGAGTCAGGGTCTTTATCATTCTTTAAAATAACAATGGAATTGGAAACCTGGTGGTGGAATAGTGAAGTGTAGGACGCCGTTCAAAAAAAAGAGATTAGCCAAGAAGTAGTATGACAATGAGGGGACTGAAGAGAGGAGACAGGACTATAAGGAGATGGGACGTAGAGCAAAGAGGGAAGTAGCTAAGGCAAAGCAGAGGGTGTACGATGAGTTGTATGGGAGACTGGACACTAAAGAAGGCAAGAAGGACTTGTACCGATTGGCAAGACAGAGGGATCGGGCTGGAAAGGATGTGCAACAGTTTAGGCTTATTAAAAATAGGAATGGTAATGTTCTAACAAGTGAGGAGAGTGTGACAGGAAGATGGAAGGAGTACGTTGAGGAGCTAATGAATTAAGAGAATGAAAGAGAAAGAA